CAAAATGCAAATATTTCGCTTTTTTCTCCCTCCCCCCTCCCAAGAAAGAGCTCTAAAATTGCTGTTTACTGTTGCCATTTCGTAAAATTAAATTTTTAAATAAGAATAAAAATCAAACTCAGAAAGATTTAACTTATCAGCTTGCACGATTTCAGCTCAGTAGCTTTATTTATGTTTATTCAACATACATTTTTGGTCCTTGCAATTGTTTTTTAAAATTAAATTGCATTTAAATATTTTACGTTTTTATTCACTATTTTCTAACTCTTTGACCTACGATTTTTCTCTTTTTGAAATATCTGAAATTTTAAAAATACTTTTATAGAATTATATACATATAAACAAAAACTGAGAAATTTCAAATTAAGATAATATACATAGTTAAAGTCGCGCAATATGCCACAAAATTAATTGAATAATTGAAAAATAATAACTGAATCAAAATTATGTCATGAAAGGCGGGGGGGAATTTCTAATACGAAGTACTCAAATCAAAATAATGGAAAAACAATTCAAAACTGAAACAAAAACTAAACAAAACAATAAAATTTAATAAGATTATATAAAATTGTTGAAAATTCCTTGGTCTTTTTCAAGGAGCAACGGAAGAATTTTCAACAAAGCCACGTGTTTTAATTACATCTAGATGATTGTAAATTTTGAAACATTTCAAAATTAAAAAAATTCATACATGTGTACGTATAGACGCCATGAAAAAAAAAATCCCTTTTAAATGCGTTTTAAATCTTTTTTACAATCGGTTTTGGGAAAAAGAGTCCTTTATTCTGTCCATCCGTACAGATATCACGCAAAAACATGGTTCAAATAGATTCGGAGAGCGGTCAAAATGGATATCTTCTTCCAAATATTATACCCGAAATTTTTTGCTTTTACAATATTTCTTTTACTTCGTACAAAAAAGTAAAAGAAGTGTAAGCACTTATATAATATATTTTATATAATAAGTGTACATTTAAATCTGAAGTTGCTTTTTTTCTTTCATCTGTTTTCTTCGTATTTACATTTTTATTTTACGAGTATTTTTATATTTTGATTAAATGGATGTTTTCGTTAATGAATGAATGAAACCCAATAAATCGTATTACAGTTAGTTACAAGCTGTACTGAAATATCGTTTGCTCTTTTTGTTCTTTAATATTGAAAAATTTTTGCCGTAGTTTTATTCGCTTTATTCAACGTTTCACTGCATTGTTTACTCACAATCATACTATCACCTTGCGTTTTTTTTTTCCACATTTATTTAATTTGCTATCCTCTCGTGATGTTTTCGTCAGCAGATTCATTTTATACTTTCTCTTTACGCTTTGACTGATAACACGGACGCAATCTACATTCAACAAAACATTACGCAGACAAAAACTTCGTGGACCAGAAATTCATGATGAATAAAGATATTCATTCATACGTCCACTTAAGAATGATATTCGATTGTAAGCGTTGGGAAGCCAGTTCATGTATTATAAAAGTATTTTGCATAAAAAACATCTTACTCGTAGATACAGCATACATGCTAATACACTTGTAAAATCTGCCTGTGATAAAGAGATCTAAATTCTATGTTTACTGCAAATTTATTTGAGAACACTGGATTTATTAGAAAGCGTATCGTCTGCCGGAGAATATAATTCCATTATTTCTTCTAAGTGGTATTTTGAAAACTGCGTCATGAAATGTGAATATTATCAAGTGCACCAGGAAATACTTAGGTGATAACAGGAAGGAATTCCGTTCTCGACATGTTTAAAGAATCTGAAAGTGGCAGTAACCAGGGCGTAACTAGAACTCTTATATCCCTAAATCCACCCACTGGCTACTAACGAAAAAAGAAAATTCTGGACTTTCAATATACACCATGATTTGCAACACACTAAGAAAGGAGGTAAAAAGTGAAGACTATTTCCGTATAATGATGATTTTAGTTAGGTTTTAGATAATTTTTTAGTATTGTGAACACATGCTTGCTGAATTCCAAGGCAAGACAAAAGCAGAAATAAACTGAAAAGTGTGTATTTGGCCTCGCTTTTGTTTTGTCTATTTTTAAAATCAAGAAAGTTTAAGAAGAGGGGAAAGTCGGGGCATCGCTTCTGGTCTGAAATATATTATCAGTTTAGTTTGTCTTAAACAAACTCTGCCTTTGAATCGTTCAGTGCTAGTTGGATGCGCCTACCAGTTGAACCACAGCAGCAAACACAGAAGCAATGCAATAATTTTTTATCTCACTGGGGATTTGTATTCGCAATAAAATTTTTTAAAAGAAGGTGCAAGATAGCAAAAAATAAAATCCGAAAGCTTTCAGATTTTACATTACGCCCAAAGGGACTTTTTTTTTAACGTTTTTTGTGTTACCTTTATTTTATTAAATATCATGTTCTTCGCCCTTAAACCATAAAATTCAATTCAGCAGCAATATCGCAAAATAATTTTAAAATGAGCATAAACTAATTTGAATTAATGCTTCGATATCTAATAAATTATCTTTACATAGCGCTTTATAAAATTTTTCTCAGACAAAATTAATTAAATTCATAAAAGGGTACTTTTCCGTTTTGCCGGCGCAGGCGATAAAGTCGCCAATAATGGTACAACCGATGCCAAACGGAATATCCTCGCTGGTAACCTTTTACGCCTCATTTTCAAAACAAGTCGCAGTCATTTCTTATCAGATTGAGTGTTTCTTTCAATACTGGCATACAGTTACGCATAATTTTTACCAGATAGTTTAATTTTATGCCTCAAGGCCATTCGCAATAATTAAGTCAATTAGGATATAATCACACCGTTCACCTGAAGGCGAAAATATAGAAAAGGCAAAGTCAAGGTTTAAATTCATCCATTCTAATGAGAATGCCCTAGCGAAGTAAAGCACTGCGGTTTTACATAACTGCTGCGTAAGCTATTCGTACGAATTGAAATAATTCTTGCAGTTAAACTTGTATTCCAAATTGAGATTTAACTTGAAATTAATGCAGATAATTACTGAGAGAATTAGATTTTTGTAGCGTAGTTTACATGAGATGAGATTACTTAAGGTCACGTGATATGAATCGGCGAATCAGGATGTTGAATCCTGAAAGCATAGTAAATTCTTGGATTAATGTCATTTTACAAATTTATTGTCTTTATTTATTGGTTTTTTACAAAATTTTAAACGATATTGAAATGTTTATGCCTTCAAAATAAAAAATTCTTAGAACTAACATTTTTTAATATTTTTATGTGTATACTGTATGTTGTCGCCAATGCAGTCTGCTTGGCGAGATTTGCGCCGGCGAAACGGAAAAGTACCCATAAAAGTTTTAAACATTAAATTATCTTGGGATTACGCTTTTTAGTGTCTACCCCGTCAAAACATTTTAAATTAAAAAAATCAAATGTGAAACGCATAGCGCCTTCTAATGTCAGTCTTTTTTTCTCTCTGTCCAAAGACAAAATTTCTCATATTTGTGAATTTTTAAACATAAAATTATATTGACATTCTGCTTCCTAGTTTAAGAAGTTTTCTCCTTCAAAACTAGTTAAATTCTTAGATTTTTAAACATCTTCTTCGACGCTAGGTTTTAGGACATCTAAATTATTTCCTCTGTCGGCTCAAACGAGCGAATAGAATATCGTTCACGAAGGCAGGTAATAGTTTCTTCTCTCTGCAGCCGATAGTATATGAGACAAGTGCTATAGAGGCCTGCCGCGGGGCTCACACCTGCCCTGATGTCTGGGGCCAAAGGACTGCCCTTCCGACGCCTGGGGGTTGAAACTTCATTGTCTTCTGGTTGTTCATCAAACCAATTAGAAACGAAAATCCGTCTGCAGGTGTTTGCCTTCAATAAATTCTCCAATTAGATGGCAGCCATGATGAGAATAGCGATGCATTGATCGATTCATTTCTGTCATGATTCTCCCTCGATAGTGATTTGGGATGGCATCTTATTCTTTGAGAGATTGAATTCGGTCTTAAAAAAGGAAAGCATGAGCCAGTACACGGAATTTCAGACAAATCATGACCAGAATTTATTTATATTTTAAATGAATAGTTATATAAATGCAATCGAACTTCTGGTTGCATCGAGCACAAAAAACCAACGAGAGCCAGTTATAATGGGAACCAAGAAAGCCTCGAGAATTTTATTTCTATAGCCATTACTAACTTCTGCCTCTTAATTAATATCTCGAAGAGGATCTTGAGTTTTCTGTCCTAACAAAGTACAAATTGACTTTGAGTTTTGTTAGATTAAGGCAAGCACAGTACGGCTATCGACCTACAGACAGGAATGCTTTGAGGAAGACTTTCTGAGGGAAACTGGGTCGGATTTATGGGAAAAGTGGGGGAAAGTACTAAAACATCAATATAAACAGCTCCTTCACCGGGATTTCAATCCGAATCGCACTACCAGTTATTCGAGGGTCTTATCCGCTTGACATTGATGGGCTTAATAGAAATTGCTACCGCTTGTTTCCTGTAGAAATATCTGTTTACTGCTTGTGCTCAAGCGACCAATGAAAAAGGCTCAGAGCTCGATCTTGAATAATGAAGCTTTTATTAAATTTATTTATGTCGTTAATTTATGATGAGTAATATCACAAGATATTTTATGATGGAATAATTTCTTTTTTCTTTTCTTACCATTTGGGAATTTTTTAAAGTCTCATTTAAACTATTTATTTTAACATCTCATTTAAACTATTTACATTAATAACAGATAATGTTAAATTATAATTTGGATTAATGACAGCTGTTGCAAAATTTTAAGAAGTCCAAATACAATGACATTTTTAAACGATCAATTTGCATTCGGCAATGCACTTTCCTAATATGGAAGATGAAATAAAGATGTTATTCATTGCCATATTGGGAACAGCAATTGTTTATATTGGAGACAATTTTATGCAAAATAATAACACCTCTTCGAGGAGCTGATATTTAATATTTCTTTTTATTTTGGTATTATATTTTGCATGACTAATGTATTATTCGTTTCTTACAGATCTTGCTGCTGATTTCCGATGAAATTCGACTATTTCAGATCCATGGAACATTCAGGTAAATATCATTCTTAATATCCTCATTCATTATCAGCCTTTCAATTCTAAACTGCGCGCTAAAATGTTGTCACTAATTTCTAGGAAAAAGCAGTAACTTTGTTAATGCGAAATAAAAAAGAAATCGTTTGCATCCGCGTTAAGATTCCGGATGAGAAACAGCTGCCATTTTTTTTTTTTTTTTTTTTTATTTGACAATTAAATGAAAAGTTCTTCCTCCATCTGTTGCGAGATTCTTTTTCTATTTTTTTTCTCCCTTTGCAGCTCTTTAATTTTATCATTTGTACTTCAGTAAGTATATCATAAGTATATGTATTCACTAAGTTAACACAGTATCATTTATCATGAAAAAATAGAGTATCGTTAGAGGATGATAGATTGTATTTCTAATTACAAGTTGCAAAATTCGTGGAATACCAGATTGTAAGTAATTTATTATGAAATTAATTAAATTTTTTAAAAAAATTAGTTGGTTTTGATCAAACAGTTTATCAAAATGTTTACAATTTTTAATTACTCGAAAAAGAATTGTATAGTATTATGAAGGTAATTTCTGAAGAGATGGAATTCCTTTTCTGAAGAAAAGGACTTCCATTTTCTAATCCTTTAAAATTATGCTTTTAATGTCTATAAATATATATGTATTTTCAGCCAAGTGTATTTGAGGGGAAGCTATATTAGTCCTTGCCTGGCAAAATATTTTAAAAAGAATTAAAAACAGAAGATTTAAAGAAGGTTTAAGCAGATTTAAAAAAAGAATTAATTATTTGATGTGGTGGCCCATCAGCAGCCGAGCGGTAAAAGCCACTGAACACTGGTAGTTGGGCCCGGAGCTCGAGTCTTGGAGAACAACGGGCGGACTGCATGCGTGGTTTCCTCCATGTGTAACGTGGATACGAGCCAAGTTTCCCTTAAAAGGACTTCCACAAGGCATCCTTCCCTTTCCGTACAGTGCCGAATCACGTTAAAAAAAAAAAAAAAAAGAGATATCTCTTAAATAACGTTAGTAATTAAATAAATAACTTTTTTCTATACAAGAAATAATTAACTTTACGTACGTAGTTTTAGAATTAGTGTAATAATTACTGTTAAATATTTTTTTTTCTTTTTTTTTTTTCTTTCTTTCTTTCTTTCTTTCTTTTTTTTTTTTTTTTTATCTTTCTCAATGATTTAGCAAATTCAGTTACTTAAATGAAATTAATGTATGTAGATTTAGAATTAGTGTAATAATTAGTGTCCAATAATTTCCAGTTTTTTACCTCGATGATTTAGTTAATTCAATTATTTGAATGCAATTAACTTTATGTAAATACATTTAGAATTAGTGTAATAATTACTGTTCCATAACTTTTTTTAACCTATCTCAATGAATTAGCAAATTCAATTACTTAAATGCAATACAACAATTTCTATCCCTAAAAAGATATATATGCTCAGCTATGTCCCTATAGTGTACTAAATTAAACACTGTGTGTGTATGTAAATTATACAAAGGTTTAATACATAATTTTTGTACAGGAAGCGTTGAGAAATATTAGCATAATCATATGCTCCTTAAATTTATTTCGAGTACATTACCATGTTTCTGCCATAGCACGTTTCTCCCTGTAAAGCGGACATATATTAATGAAAAATTATTTTAATAGCCTAGTTCAGTGTATTAGTATTTACATCCTCCAGAAACAAATTATCTGAAATGGAAACAAGAGGGATTTTAATCTGAAAATTTCAAGTTTCGTTAGGATATACTAAAAAATAATATAGCATTACAATTTTAGAAAAAAAAATAAAAATTAAAAACATTTAAAAAAACATCTTCCAAATATTTCGCTACTTCTCTAAAATGAAAGTCATAGCTACTGGTCCGAATCAAACAACTAAATCTTTGCTGTTGCATTAAACTTAAATCAAAAGAATTTGAATCCGATTTTTTTTCTGCATTTCTTTTTTGAAAATAAAATGATATAAGGAAAAAAAAATGAAACATTTAACAAGCATTAGACAAAATAGTTTTCTAAATAAGTATCTTGACAGTCTACTCAGTAGCGCAGCTCTTTAATATCAAAGTCAAAGGAAAGATCTTATTCTTTGTCGACTGGCAAGAAAAGTCTATTGTTAGACGCGACTTTATGGAAAGCAAAAAGCCGCTGTATATAAATACTAAAACTTCTTAAAGATATACTTTAAAAAAGTAATAAAATACCTAAAAGTACATAATAACAGCGTGAGACTATGTATATAAAAAGTACTAAAATGCTTAAAAATATTTTAAAATATTTAAAACAAGTAAAAGTTTCTATTAACTGTGTCAGTTGTATTTAGTATGTATATCTCCGAAAATTGCATCCTAAATCATCATTCCCGCTGTTTTCATTTTCAAAATGATTTCGTTAAGAGTACAATGTCACTATTTCGGATATGGGGGGGGGAGGACTCGGACCCCTTTCCTCTTTCTGCTATCCCATCACCTTAAAGTGTTCAAAGATGTCACATAGAAAGGATGCTACAATTTTTTCTTCTGTCGTAATTTTCCGCTCATCCTCCCCCAATCAGTGCCCAAAACCAGCCTTGTCCACCTAATTTCACTTAAAAATGGTTGATCGCGGAGTGCGATATGAGTGCTGCCATCCTCACCCCCGCTTTCAAATGACGTCACGCTGGACTGGTTAACTCTCTCTTGAAGGAGGGAATACATTTTTTATTTTTATCTTCTTAATTTTCTTTTTCCTTTCTTTTGCTCGAAAAAAGAGGAGTCCTTGGCTTGGGTCGTTGTCGGCGGAAGTACTTTTGGGCCAAAAATGACGATTCGGTGGATGCATGAGTGCCGCCGCAGACGATGGTTTGGGAAAAAGACGATCGGAAACGCGCCTTTCCTCCCCGATTAGGCACACTCTCCTGCGCACGGCGGTCACCCCCCTCTGATCGACAGGAATGCTACAAGCTTCACTTTCTGTTGCTGACGATGATTTCTATACCCTCCTTCGAACAGCCCGAGGGCTCTTGGAAGAAATGTTCCCTTTATATGCGTATGGCCGATTGCCTGGGGCTTACCTGCGCGTGCCCAGTGCGTGCAGGGAAAACGCAACGAAAGACGCGTCAAACACTCCTTCGAGCACTCGGAAGATGTCAAAAATGTCTTTTCTTTTCTAAAACCCAATGATCTCATCCTTTCAAAACCCGTGATAATACCCCTTTCCTGGTGTTATACGAGGGACATTTTTGTGATTTCTGTAATCATCTTGTCTTTAGTCGAAAATATCTAAACCATTTTTTACTGTAGAGAAATCTTTAGAATAATTGTTAGCTTTAAGACAACTCCTTACTGTAAATGACTACAACTGTAATTCTTTATATTTGCTTTAAATTGTTGCTATAATAATTAAAGAAAGAGTTATCGTTCGTCTTTTTTTTTTTTTATATATATTACATACTTTCAAAGTATATCCTTTTTATATTCCATATATTACATATATCCATATATTAGATTTTATATATTACATATATCGTTTTTATATATTCCATATATTACATATATCCTTTTTATATATTTCATATATTACATATATCCATATATTACATTTTATATATTACATATATCCTTTTTATATATTCCATTACTTATCCATTTATTATCCCAAAGCGGCAATTTGCCCAGAAGAGCTATTCATTTCGTTTTGGCATTTTGCGTCGTACACCATAAAACGGCATTTCACTTTTTAAATTGTTGCCACTAAATATTACAGTCCTGCATTATATTTAAAGAAATTAAATAATGAAGAATCTGCATGAATGTATGTATGTTTCTCGTTTGAACTGCATTTTGAAATATATGTGTATACTGCATAGTTCTTAGAATGTTTGAGAAATTTTTTAAATCGTTATCAATAAATTCCTTTTTGAATTACACCTGCATAGTTAGTTCACAATTACAATTTCTTTAAAGCTTTTATGATTTTTCTTTTCTTTTTTTTTAACTTTTTGAGATTTTGATGGTAAACTTTTTTTTTGTAATACTAGGTATAACTTGAAAGAAAATTTTCTGTATGTTTTTTCGGGGGAAAGGGGATTTTAATTTAGAAAAACTACTTAATTAATAAACTCATAATTTTTTACTGATGTTATTGAGTCATTAGATTACATCGATATCAGGAAACTAGAGAAAACCGCAGTGCTTTCGCTGGGAGTCGAACTCCGGACCTCCCAAATACACGTCGAACATGCTTCCAATTATGCCACGAAAGGCATGCAGATTCAGAAATGTAATTTCTAGACTGTCATTCACAAACTACAAAAATAAAACTTAAACATATTACATTGTCACTCACAAACTATAAAGATAAAGTTAAAATACACATTTTAATCAAATTTACTTTTCATTTCGGTGGCTTCCACGTCAAGAAATTTAAGAGAAAATCGGGAAAACTCAAATATATATGTTTTTAATTGTAACAATATAACGTTTTTTTTTTTTTTTTTTTTTCTGAAATTGGTTTAGAAGTCAAATCCGTTGAAGTTGTTATTGAAATAAGAAAATTATCGCTCAAAATTCGGAAAAAAACTAGTTAAAAAAATACTAATAATTGTTCGATGTCAGCAAGTCTAGCAGGAAACATTAATAGTAGTCCCTAACGATGTGGGTGGGTTTGCTCCTCTTGACACGTCAATTAAGGGGGCTCATACACCTTAAACCCCTTATGATCTTTGAATATGTGACTGTTGCAAGACTTGGGATATTTTATTTATTTTAAAAGCAATTACTTACAACCTTTTACAGCTGACTACATAATATAGCTGCTTTAGAAACTAGTAACCAAAACGTGTGTGTTGCCACAAATATTTTTGTAATTTAATCCGCTTTGTGACAAAAGTTTTCATCAAGTTTCCACCTTGCGCGCATGATATTGTAAAAATGGCTAACGGTATACATACTTGAAATTTGATGGAATTCTTTATATGGGCACTATTTTCTTACTGAACCAAAAATTTGATGAATATTTTAGT